GAGTATTGTTTCTATGCACTATTGTGTGCGCATATGTCTTCTAACTGTGCTTATATATATATATATATATATATATATATAGGTTGTATGGATGTGTACTAAGAACTTTGGTTTCCATTAGCAGGGCTGTGGGGGCTTGCGGGATGATCTATGTTAGAGAGTGGGGAAAGACTTATTTGGTTTATAAAGTTACCATAACTATCTGCATGTCAAACCTTTTACTTTCATGAGTTGAGGTTTCCTGGATAGTTTTCTTTTTTTGATTGGATTGGGTTGCCTTTCTGTGTCTATCTTATATACTCCAATTCAATGACAAAGAAGGTATATTGCATATTATTATGTTACACTTTAGTCTAGAAGTTCATTCCTCACAATCCCATAAAAATGGTCCTGGATATTTTGATAATAATAATAAAGCTCTTATTGTTTATTGTTCATATGTAATTAATACATTTATGTTACACTTGTAGGGCTGCATATAAAGGCTTTGCTGATTGTATCCGTCTGCTTTTATTCTTGGATGCTTTTCGGGGCCGGCAAGATAAAGAAGGTATATCTGAACCTCTCCAATCTCTCTTTTACTTTGATCAAACTTCTTTACATATAATACCGAGTCTAAATTTCAAAATATTGGTTTGGCGTTTCTTCTTTATAAACAATGGCTTCCTGAAACTTGCATTTTTTTTATTTACAAGGATGTACTCCTCTTCATTGGGCTGCAATAAGGGGGAACCTAGAGGCATGCACAGTGCTGGTACAAGCAGGTAGGAAAGAGGACTTGCTTGCGACAGATAATACTGGCTTTACCCCTGCACAACTAGCATCTGATAAAGGCCATCGGCAAGTTGCTTTTTTCCTTGTAGGTATTCTATATCTAATTCGTTCTTGCTTAGGGGAACCTTCCTGCTTGATATTTAGCTTGTATTCTGACCTTTCCCCTTTTAGTGTGAAATAATTGAATCTGAGACATGCAGTTGAGGAAGAATGTGGGGTTTCTTAGATGGTTCTTGTTCAATGACCGGTCTGTGTTGTATGTGCAGGCAAATGCCAAAAGAGTGTTCGACAATCGTTGTGACGGGAACGGTCATCTCGGAAAAGTTTCAAAACTGGGGCTTGCTCCTATGCTTTGGTGTTCGATCATAATCCTTCTTGCAACCTATGTTCATTCAGTCATTTCAGGTATTGCCATGACTTGTGTGCATTTTGGTGGCAAGATTTTCAGGCCAGCAATCCAATAAACTCCGGGAAAAAAAAACCGTAGTTCATTGGGCCATCACTTGCCATTAAAATCTTGGATGTTGACGGCGAAAGAGTAGTAGCCAGGGTCATGTCATGTTTTGTGGGTTCCATTCTCTATCCACCATCATCCATCATTTCAATGAATGGTAAAAACCCAATGGACTGGCTTTTTCTTAGTTTAATGGATTATACTATATTTTGTATAAGATTTACGTCATCTCTTTTTCTCTTTGGTGGCACACTTAACAGTGGCTATTTTCGCTGCAGCTTCAAACTTTCCTAAGTTAACAGCTGCATTTGGGCTGTTCGCATGGTTGGGTGTTTTCCTTGCAACTGCTGGCCTGATAACGTTTTATAGGTGTAGCAGGTATATGTTCTAAACCTAATGAGTTTAATTGCTCAAAGCATAACTACAGTTACTGAAAGAAGTGGCTATGTTGTATTTTAGGGAATAAAAATAAAAAATTCTCTTTTTTTTTTATTAATACTTAATTCCACTTACAAATGGCACAATGCACTGCTGTAAACAAAAAATAACATAGGATCTTTTCTTTTACTTCCCAATTGGATAGATACAATCCAAGAATGAAAAGCAAACTTCTACTAAAAATTTTAGTATAAATAATTTTCTTAGAAATTCAAATAAATAAATGGATAATGATTTGAAAAATATAACAAACAGCATAGAAGACTTACTCGAGCTTGCCTAGGGTCAACCCCATTGGACTTAGAACACCCCATATACCCGATCTCCTAAC